TTGGTGTCCTTTTACTTCCCAGAGAAAACATTAAAATTTAATTCCTAGCAGCGCCCACCCTTTACCTCTCTGCTTCTGAGAAGGCTAGATATTGCACATTGAATTAGAAAAAAATGTTTCAAAAAAGGGTTCAGTTGTTGAGTGTTACCACGTGGGTTCTTCCAACATGTCATGGGAATTACATGATCTTTGAGGTCCCTTCCAACCCAAACTATTCTACAGGTCTATTATTCTGCCTGGAGGGAAATCCCAAGTGACTCAGTTCTCTCCTTCAGTGCTGAGCAGAGCAGTTGTTCCAAATAAAGTCTCTGAAAGAATCAAATATATTGGCAAAAGTGGGTTTAATATAAAAGCAAGAGCACGACAAAGTTCACTGGCAAGGTTCATTCTACTACTTACTACGCAGTTAAAACACACAGAGAAACAGCAAACAGAAACCTAAAATCAATCAATCTAAACCCCAAAGCAACTGAAAAATTATCTGTGTGGAGGCTGGGTCGGGGACAGGTTGGGAGGGAGAAAAGGATAAGGGCAGAAAGAGCAAGGATAAAAAGGAATAAGACACTCCTGTTGAATCACAAGGTTCAGAGGAGACCCCTCTTGCTAAACTGAGCCTAGGACTTGTACAACAGTTTAGCCTTAAGGTTTGACAGTACTTAAGAGCATTTAATCTATAGCTTAAGTTAAAGAATTTAACAAAGGATTCATACAGAATTTACTACAGCACAACAGTAACTTCCTTACAGGCCTGACTTGCAAATCTAAAGTACTTAAGGATCCAGCAGAGTGACATTCATTGTACATTTGCTATGGCATAATCACAGACCTAAAGGTATATACAAGCTATATACCTGTGAAAAACTGTCCTTGAATTCAGTAAAGGTCTCACACTGGTGCCCCTGCACCTTCTCAGCAGGTGAAGGGTTAAGCCTTTAGGAGTTAGGGTATCAGCCCAGGATCTGTCACTGTTGTTTGCAGGTCCTCCAAGTATAGCAAATTTGAGAGTTCCCTGGCTCTGAGAGGCCCCACTTTCAGAGAGTGAGGTGCTAATCAAAGGCCACTGCTTACAGGAGAGCTCAAAGGTCTCATTTCTGACCACTGTTTACAGGGTCACAATAGAGTGGGCTTTAATCATAATAATTTTCCATCCAGGCCCCCATTCAGGTCAGTGGCTGTCTTTGAAAGTTCAATAACAAAAAATATTATTCCACTTGGGTTGTTATTCAGGCAATAAAAATAACTTTGCAAGGATGTTTGTTAAAAAACAGGAGCTCATTAGGCAGCACCAATTCCTGGGAACAGTGTTTCTAATATGTTGGAGAGGAGCTCAGCCCAGATGCTGTTTAGCAAAGCTGAGCCTAACGAGCAGTTCCAGTTCTGAGATCATAGTGCAGCTCAAGAGTGGGGGAGGGAATGCACCACCACATTCTCTCCTTAACCAGATGTTCTTCAGAAGAAACATCCCTGCCCATGGGAGCGAGGTTGAAACTATGTCGTGGTTTAACCCTAGAAGGCTGCCAAGCTCCCTGCAGCCTCTTGCTTGCTGCCCACAGTGGGATGGAAGAGAAAGAGGTAAAAGTGATAAAACTTATGGGTTGAGATAAGGACATCTTGATACATAAAGCAAAAGCTGTTTGTACAAGCAAGCAAAGCAAGGAATCCCTTCCCCACTTTCCACAGTGAGGTAGGTGTTCAGCCATCCCAGGAAAGTTGGTCTCCGTCACGTGTAATGGTGACTTGGGAAGACAAGCACTCTTTCCTCCTTCCTCCCCAGCTCTGTGTGCTGAGCATGGAGTCATATGGAGTATCCCTGTGGTCAGCTGTCCCCCTTCCCAAATCCCTGTGTACCCACAGCCTCCTTGCAGGTGGGGTAGTGTGAAGAGCAGAGCAGCCCCTGACTCTGTGTGAGCAGAACTGAAAACATCCCTTGTGCCATCAACACTGTTTCCAGCACAAAACCAAAGCACAGCCCCACACCAGCTACTGTGATGAAAGTTAACTCTATCCCAGCCAAAACCAGCACTGTCTAGATGATCTTGGAGGTCTCTTCCAATCCAAACCATTCTGTGATTCTGTGGAACAGGTGGCTCTCAGAACACAGGAATATGACTGGGTGATTGCCATAAACTGATATTTGAACACGAAAACTTAGCTTCCTTGTCTGTTGCAGGCCACAGCATTTCATAAAGGGGGTTTCCTCTCCTCTCTACTGTTGAAGACTCATGGGCAGCACCTTGTATCAGGCCCTTGCAGCTCGATAGAGCGATGCCTTGACACTGGGTACCAGAACATGGGAGAGGCACCACTGGCCAAGGGTCTATGCTTTGCCTTCAGTGAGATCACTCTGAACACAACACAAGGTTCCAATGAAAAGCAAAATTAATTTTAAACTACTAAAGGGCAAAGTCAACAGCATAGTTGCTAGATTTTGGAAAGCAAATGAAAAGAAACAAGGCAATTACATACCTTATTAGCCTGCTGTGCTTGGCTAGGATTCCTGCTTCCACTCTGCTTGCGTGCCCAAGAGCTGACAGGATGTATTCAAGCTTGTTAGACACAGGACCAAGTTCCTGTAATGAGCCACATCCATCTGGCATCATCTCTCCATGCTGGAGCCTCCCACTTAGGATGGAGTCTATCTTTAATGAACTACTTTACTCATGAAGGCCTCTACTGAGTGTAAACACACAACAAGGGGATTGCCAATAACCCACGGTCTTGATAGTTAACTTAGTTACTGTTTGAATACTAGCTTTCTGCTAATGTAAATCTGTCTGATCTAACATTAACTGCTGATACGGAGGCATGTTTCCAAAATACTGTGTTGCCCATACTGTGTTATCATTCTTTTCATCAGTAGATGATGCATTAATACCATGTAAATGCTGCTCTTAATGCACAGGTTCATGAATATAAATGGAATCATCTGAGCTTGTAAGACTTTAGGTAAGACTTTAACTTCACTAGCACATCAGATTTATTTATAATCACATCACTTCAGAGATAACAAAAAATATAGGTGAAACATGGGAACAAGAGGAACTTGTGGAATAGAACTAGTAGAACTTGTGGTTTGTTACTTGAGAAAACATCAAAAAGCAATAATAAGTTTTTTAGGTTTTATGAATGTATTTAAAACTTGATACAATTTTAATACTGGAAAAATAAAACAGTGTTTTTCCAGCTTTTTGGTGAATTAAGTAACAGAAATTAATAAATTAGTTCAGCCTGAAATATTAATATTTTCCTGAATAGAAAAAGGTATATCATTTTCTTTTTGGGTTATATAATATTTTATTCACCCTTTTGTTCAGCTTGCAGTAAAAGGGGTTTCAAAAGGAAAAGTCATAAATGGTGGAACTTATAAAAATATTGACTGCAAAATTTTGGAAAGGTCAAAATCCACTATTTTATTTCATCATTATGATGCTCTCTTCCAGACAAATCTGATAGCATTTGTTTACTGGGAAAGTCCTCTTCATTAGGAGGGTTTTCTCCTGCATCACCTGGAAGGACACATTGCCCCTCATGACAGGTGAGACTGAAGAAGATGATCAAGATCTGTAGTCTAATTAAGAGTGTGTGTTTGTTGCATCTTAATGATATCCAATCTGGCCAACATTAGGTTTCTTTGAGATAATTAGAGATGAGCTGTGTCTTCAGGATTTTAGTTTTAGATCTTAAATTCTGAAAAAAAAATTCGCTTTAGGTAATTTGTTTAATCTTGCTCAAAGCAACAGGAAATCTTTCATTAAACACACTTTAAACTGTGTTTAATCCTTCATTCTTGGAATAAGCAGATTTTCTTTTCCCATTAGTGCAAAAGTACCTGCTGCTGTAAAACCAAACCAAACCAAACCAAACCAAACCAAACCAAACCAAACCAAACCAAACCAAACCAAACCCAAAAGCAAGCCCTGCAGCCATATTTGCTGAAAGATTCTTGCTTTGCTAGGGAATCTCAAATTCACAAAGACTCCTGATTGCAGTATATTTGTGTCCCATAGAATCACAGAACATCCACAGTTGGAAGGGGGATGCACAAGGATCATTGAGTCCAACTCCTGACCCTGCACAGGACATGCCAACTATCCCATCACGTGCCTGAGAGTATTGTCTGAATTCTCCTTGACCTCTGGCAGACTAGTTCATTAATTCCTGGTTGTGACCTTGTCTTACCCCTTGTTCTACACTTCCAGTCAAAATGCAGAGGTGATTCTTTGCAGTGCAATGAACTAGACTTATTCAAAATAAAGGTTAGATTTCTCAGGATATATATTACAAATAGTAGAATTTATGAGATAAGCTGTCATTATCTACACACTCACCAGCTTCAGAATGGTATATGCATTTTGCAGAGGAAATGATGTAGTACTGGAGGCAGTGCAAGACTGGCAGCCTTGAAAAATGAAGTGATCTATCCACTGCAAGGCCTCAAGACTGAGGCTTCTCAGGCTAATCTTCCCTGAACCTTTCCTGAACTGCCTAGAGCTTTGTTTTTTCATGGTGTGGCTGCATCACTAATTTTTTTAAAGAGCAGATGGCTATACCTAATTTATTCTACTTTTGTAAAGTCTTTGTGTAATACAACTAGAGTGCTTATGTAGCTAACTATAACAGGCCATTATTCTCTGTAGAATGAAATATTTTTGACTGAGATGGTGATGTGGTATAGAGGAATACAGCCCTGGTATGACTGTAGATCTCTCAAGAAATGGGGATGTGAAGTAGAGGAGCACTCATGGGTACAGGCAGCACTGGAGAGCTTATGGCTTTAAACAACTCTTCACTCCTCAGTTAAATAAATGCAGACCAGGTAAAATCAGCTTTTTTTGGGTTAAAAAGTGAACAAAGAGCAATTATTTATTTTGAGAAAGTCCCCATGTGTATTGTAAATTTGGACGTAGTGCAGCTTACACAATAATGAAGAAAGACCAAAGTGTAAAGCACATAAACAAAACCCCAACCAGATGCTAGAGTAAGGAAGAAGAAACTCTTACCATTGTCAAGCTGCTCCAAGTGAAGGACTGGGATGCTTGACAATTTGCTGTGCTCCTTGCCAGACCAAAGCTCTCATTTCAGGATCCTGGGAAGCGGTGAAAATATGAGCAAATAGCTGAGAAAAGAGGTGGAATCTTGAAATGTGTATAAAATTTTAACTGCATTGTTTTTATTGAGTGTTATTTATTTTTTTATGACTATTTATTTTATTTTATTTTTTTATCCCATTCATTTTCTATAATAATTAGATCTGGACTAATAACAGCTCTTTGATTAGGCTGTTATGATCCTGATAACAAACTCTTGATTTTACTCGTGGTTTCTTAATTGAATTCCTTTTTTTTTTGCCATTACAAAATTTTGAGTGTAATTTAGCTAGATCTGTAATCAGGAATATAATCCTGATAAGATTCTCACAGAGAAATTAGGCTGTTTTAAATGAAAAGGGAAATAAATCCTACCCCATGTAATGGAGTTCTGAGAATAACCTAAATTACATTGGTTTGTATTTATCACCTCCATTTTATGCAAATGGATAGATCTCTGTTTTCTTGCCCATCCCAGTTAATCAGCAGCACAAAGAGTGGCAGCTTCTGTTCATCCCTGGCTACTGTGGATGGGAGATCGGGAGTGCATAGTTACAGCATGTAAAACAAGGGTATAGGTCCTACTGTGCCAAAACCAAAGCCCTGCAGATGCAAATTGTTTTTGGGAAAGAAGTTAATGGATCCATTTTTCTTGGATTTCCCCATGACAAACCCACTAAACTATAATCAGATGCTCACAGCTTTAAAATTTGGGGGAACAAGCAACAAGCTCAATGGAGAGAAAAGTTGAGAACAAAGAAGGTGGGAAATGAAGATTGAAATACCACGGGAAAAAAATAGAGGAACCCAGTCTTCAGATTCATTAGCAAAAAAAAAAAAAAAAACCCACATAAAAAACCTCCACCAAAAACAAAAACCCAAAAACCACCAAAAAACCCCACAACAAAAACCCCAACAAAAAAGATGTGTATTGCATGGCATAGGATCTTATTAACAATTTTTGCTTAATAGAATGAGAGAAAAGGAGAAAAAAAGAGAAGATCTCTTGGAGGTGGTGAAAGAAGGATAACAGATGGAGGTGGAAAAAGTTGAACAGCTCCCCAGTAGTTAAAAAATTAGGAAATTCAGCTGCTTATTGTTTTGCAGCAGTTTGCTTTTTGCTTGTAACTTTCCTATTTAGCCTCCTTGTTCATAAGTATTCACTAAATTACTTAATTATGGCCTCATTAGGCACCACCAGCTTTGGGTTTCAAGTTAATGGGAGAGAGATCATTGTTCCTGCCGCATGAAGAAAGCTCTTTATCAAAGATATGAGGTGCCTGAAAATGACCTGAGGACTCACCACATAGACATGGCCTGCACTTTTGCATTTCTGTCTATGGAAACTTCCTTTCCCCAGGATTTTTGGAAAACTCTACACCAAAGTGGAATGCAGAGTTGGCTTTTGAAGGTGAATTTGTTGAGTCTTATGAACTTTGAAGAGGAATGCTCTCCTACAGGTGCCAGAGATTTATGGCAAGTGGTAGCAAATGAACACTTGCTTTCTTCTCAAATTTTTGCTGATGTTCACAGATGAACAGAAGTTTGTGATAAAACTCTAGATAGAAAGTTACAGTAATTCCTCCTTTGCACGATACCTTTTTTGTTTGGTGTTTGATTAGCTCTGAGCACTATAGTGATGGTTCATGGCTGGGACTCTTCCCTGGCATTAATAACAAGAGGAAGCAGCTGGGAAACACACCTAAAACTGGGTGAGAGAAATACCTGATTGGATTTAAAGGAAGGAATGAAAAGCATCTATGTAAGTAAACTGGCGTGCTTAGCCCACAGAGGTTGTATGTGAGGAATCTTGATACAGGTCTTGTGAGGACCAGTGACACAGTTTGCAGGGAGTCAGGGAAAGCCGAGACCAGCGGGTCCTTGTGGCTGAGTTGCAGTCCTCCTTGCTATACCTGGTAGGAAAGCGATTAGTCTCACCCTGAGGGTAAATGCCAACTGCACCCAAAACACAAGACAAGAGACTAGGGGAACAGAACAACAGCCGAAGCTGATCCCAGCCGAAGCTGTTCACAGCATGAGCTGATCTACTTTATTTCACAAAATGGAGGGCTTTTATAGAGCAAATATGGAAAGTTCAGGAATAGGGGTGAAAAAGGGGTGGAGTATGTAAAACTTGGATAAGGGATTGGATGGGTATCAGGGATTGACAGAAAAAGGGGAAGGCACATAGCTTGTCATATAACTTTTAAGTAACGAGGGCAATATGATTGGTGAGGGCAGCTACCCTCTCGGTATGCTGCCCAATCAGAAGCTGTCTCCTTTCTCCCATGGAAGAAAACCTACAACCTAACGGAATAAGAACATGAACATAAAATGGAGGTCCCAAACTAACCATAGGTTTGACCTTGTTACAATGACATATCAAAGTCTCTCAAGCAATCCATCTGGTGCAGGGACATTCGTGGCTGTCTGGTCCATGATGTCAGATGCTGACTCCATCCACCGGTCAAACTCCTCCTCATCTTCCAGCTCATCTCCAAAAGACCAGTATGCTAGTGCTACAGAAAAGTTAAATTAAGATATGGCCTTTTCCAAGGCATAACATAAAGGCACCAAGTCACATTCCTCATTACTTCATTCATTAATTCATTGGTAATAAAGTAAAAAATAAAATTGCAATGCTTTCAAAGAACTTTCTGCCACAAACACCCTCAAACCACACACTATGTAAAACTAGGAAGTGATAAAGTCTGAAGGCCTTAAAAATTTCAAGGCAACACTAGGAGAGAGAGAGGAAACAAACAGCAGAGCAAGAAGAGAATTCCCAATATTAGAATCCCAATCTAATATTGGGATATTCCCGATTCCAAAAGTTGTTGAACAGAATAATTCCGAGTGCATAAATGAGGCACAAGGCTGAAATGGGAGAAAAGCTTCTCAAACTGAGGAATTAGAGCAGCACATCCAAAGATACAACCAAAGCCTACGTATGGTCTTGGTAGTGAAAAATCCCTAAAATTTGTCATTGAAAAGAGAAAATTGCTTCATGATCCTAAAGACAGTTATCAGGAACTTAAAATGTCAACATTTAATGGTGAATACCTTACAAGCAGTATTATGTTTATATTTAAAGGTGCAAAATGTATTTACTGCTGTCACTTCTGCACATGAATTTTTCAAACCATGTTTCTGAAGTGTAGGTTTCTTGCTCCCAAATGCGCTTTTAAAAATCTGTACCTAAATTTCTACTTTACTTTTCTGTTTGTTGTGATTTAACACCAGATTGTTGTGATTTAACACTCAATCACTCCCTCACTCCCATATGGGGGAGAGAATTACAGGGTTAAAAGTGAGAAAACTTTTGGGTTGAGATAAAGACAGATTAAAAAGGAAAGCAAAAGCCTTATCCCGTTCTCAGTTTATATGTACTTTCTGCAAGTGATTAATCGTGTTCCCTTTAGTTTTTGGGCTTCAAGTGTACTTTTGTTATTCCCACAAGAATAATTACACGTTCCCATTATCCTTCTAGTAGTCCTCTTCTGTACAGGCCCAACTGCAGCTGGCCTTTTTTCTGACTGAAAGTGATTTGAATGGCATTTAATGTTCCAAATAAGTCCATATGAATGGTCTTTAAAATGATTAAGAAGCTGATTCGAAAGTTTCAAGGAGAACAATCTTGATAGGGGACAGGCATGATCATACATATTGGAGAGCAGTATCCCAAGCATTTCCTGAAGTATTTAGTCTTCATGAAAGCAACAGCACATTTGTGCAGAGTTGATATTACATTTATAGGGAAATTACATTTATAGGGAAATAAAGAAATGGTTTGAGTTGGTTGTTGGCTGTTATAGGAATATGTGTTTTTATAACATGCCTTTAACCTGTTACAATCTGTAGGCCAGCCTTTTGAGCACAAAATCCTATTCTGATTTCTAAACAAACCACTTAATTTAATGTTTTACAGAGTTTCAAACTATTGCTTATCTTTGTGACACCTTTTAAAATTTATTTTGTATGCATATTTCTCTCACAACTTTAAGTCCCTGTTGTTTAGATTTAAATATTGCTTGCCAAGAGGAATGAATAAAAAGTGGTCTATCATACTCAACAACATATTTTATCACATAAGGTGTCAAAAATTATTACATTCAACCCAATATATGAGCACTAAAATAAAGGCAAAAGATTATCACCCAAGAAAACAATTCTCTCTTCTTTGGTCCCTAAAGTGGCAATTATTCCCTTCATAAAGAGAAGTTGTAATGCTGTGGTGAGAATAAACTGTACTATCCAACATTCATTTTGTTATAAGTTACTTTTTCTCTGGAATTTTGAAGATGGCAAAAATACCTGCAGGACAAAGAAATATAGTAAGAGATTTTTATTGCAGTGCTGGGTACCCATTTCCAGCACTGGGTGCACCTTTGAATCAAACAAAGAGCACACTGCTGTTTGAAAACCGCGCTTTTTGTACCCTTTGATATCAGTTGTTGAATATTCATTTTACTGTCCGCTTGTTGCCTTAAAAGGTAATTTCTCTGCTTTGGAAGTGGGTGTTATCTTTTGGCTGGTTGTAACATACCTCCCTTGGGCTCGTACAGGGGGCTCTTGCATCATCCTCACATTGCCAGGCATGGAGAGTCTCTCTGTGTATCCACATGGCACAGAGGAATACATTTTTATTCATAATTTGTTCCCTGGCCGCAAAAGATTCCCTGGTGAGAGGTCCAGATAGGACCCTTCACCTTACAGTCTCCACGGTACGCCTATAAGTTAGTAAATATACAGAAATAGTTCTTTTGTTAGTACCCTCTGTTCATTTTAATTTGCTTGGAATAAAATCAGTTCCTCAATTTTTCACACATTTTAGCATCTTTAGGGTGATTGCATCATCTGTGGCACAGTGTAATCCCATGGGCCCTGAGGTGATCCAAGGCAACCATGTGGATGTCACAGTGCAGACTCTTGCCAATTTTCTTGTTAAAAAAATCCAATCAGGTCCAACTTGTCTCAAAAGTCCATTTTTGACAGACAAGTACATTACTGGTGGCATTTGTTCAAAATTATTCTGAGTGTTTACACACTGGTGGTCAGGACACAGGTCATACACATGGGAGAACCAGGGTTGAGGCTTTGCTGTGGTTCGTGCAGCACAGCTCATACTAAATCTGACCATGAGAAACTTACACTTTAAGGCAGACTAAGGAAATCTATCTTTCCAATCTTCCTTAAACTTTTTCGTCCTTACTCATGTGCCTGTGAAATGACATTGCTTCATAAAATTTCTTTGTGTTGAAAGCATTTCATCTACCTCCTTTAAAAGAAGGATGTATTTCCTGGCAAGCAGCTGTATTGAGCACAACTTCTTTCCCCAGGAGATGTGATCTACATCCTTTCTTTAATTTCTTGATGAGCCTGGAATAAGAGATTCAGCAGGCCCTAGGAAGATTTTAAAGTTGATCTGGGAAAGGAAAAAAAAAAATCCTTCTTTTGCCTGGAGAGTTCATTCAAGGAGCTGAACACTCTGTGACCCCAGCTGGATAAAGACAGTTTATCTGATTTATACACATGCAAACATAATGCTGCTCAATGCAAAGGCATTGAATGGATGGTCCCTGGTGACCATTTACAGAGGCAGAGTGTTAAAAGTGTTAATGTGATCAATAAAGAGGAAAAGGCCTGGGAGTAGCACTCAATCTGAGCTGCCGAAGCTTCACAGAACATTGCCACTGAAATAAATATTTAGTAACTGCACTAAAGGTTCTATTCTTTTGACAGGATGAGTTTCATGCCTCATGGCACAAAAGTTATGAGATTTCAGTCTGTAATCAAAGAATAACTATATTTTTCATAAGAAGAAGATGTTGCTTCTTTTCCTGACATGTGATGATTAAATGAAACAGTCCTACCTTCTATTCTCCCCCCTTCCTCTTTCACTTTTTGGCAGAAGAGAGAACAAGGTGTGGGGGGGGAGTGAAGGAGTACACAGAGAGAAGAGGAAGAGCCTAAACAATAGGAGAAAATGTGTGTTATCAGACTGTGGCAAACTTGAAATTGGTTTCTAATGTAGTGGCCAGTGGGTGCCACTACATGGCACTATTATGTGATTTGAGTTTGAGGTTGAATTGTGGCTACCTGAGAGTAAAAATGTTCTGGAACTCATGATTAAGACCACAGAAAATGCACTGAGGTTTAGGCATAAAAGGTATTCAGATATCTGGATTCCATAGGATCAGTTGCAGTTGGAAAATGGATTACTTTTTTTTGACTACTATAGTATTACCCCATCACTTATGATGTGATTTTGTTTTGTAGATATTTTTTGTTATTAACTCATTTTATAAATTTATTTTTAGACTAAACTGAGTCCACTTCGCTTAAGGCTCCCAAGTGTGAGATGGTGCAGAAGTTTGTGTCAATAACACATAAATAATAAAATTGTGCCAGGTTTAAGATTAAAAACTTTAGATTTTGACAGCTGAGGATTTTGGCACATAAGAGAGCTTTGGGGGAAAGTACATCCTGGCTAGGTGTTCCTGCTACAGTCATGGCTAGGCTCCGCGAACGAAGATTTGAGAATGGCTCTTCCCACACTTGCTACAAGCGCACTGATGGCTAAAAAGGTCAATGCGAGATAGACAAGTCCGGTTGCAGAAGGCACAGCAGAAAGACTCCCCAGGTGATACAGACGAGACGCGATTCTTTCTGTGTTGTCTTTTCTCCTCGAGAGTGATCCTGCGTGTGTTCTCAAAAGCAGCAGCAGCGTTATAGATGGTGTGTCTCCAGGCCTCCCGATTGGAGGCCAGGGTAGACCAATGGTGGTGATCAATATGGCCAAGGCTGAGGGATTGTTTCAGGCAGTCCTTGGATCTCCTCTTCGGGGCTCCTCTCTTGCGGCAGCCAGTGGCAAGTTCCCCATAGAGCACGATCTTAGGGAGGCGGTAGTCCTGCATCCTGGAGACGTGCCCTGCCCAGCGCAGCTGTGTTCTCAGCAGCATGGCCTCAATGCTCGTGACTGCTGCCTGTTCAAGGACAGACGTGTTGGTCACATAGTCAGTCCAGTGGATGTTTAGGATTGTACGGAGGCAGCGCTGATGAAAGCGTTTTAAGAGACACAAGTGGTGCCAGTAAATGACCCATCATTCAGATCCATATAAAAGAGTAGACAGTACAATGGCTCTTTAAACACTGATCTTAGTACTTTTCTTCAGGTGTTTGTTTTGCCACACTGTTTTATGGAGTTTACCAAAAGCTCTGTATGCCTTTGCTAACCTGTTGTCTATTTCTGCATCAATCTTACCGTCTGAGGAGATGATGCTTCCCAGGTAATTAAATGGCTGAACTGATTTAAGCTGTTTCACCAATGGTGATATGGGGATGATGGAAGAATTCCTGAGGTGTAGGCTGATATAAAACTTCTGTCTTCTTCAAGCTGACTTCCAGTCCAAAAAGCTCAGCAGCCTCTGCAAAGCAGGATATTAAATGCTGCAGAGCTCCTTCTGTGTGGGCAATGAGGGTGGCATCATCAGCGTAAAGCAGCTCCCGGACAAGATGATTTAAGGTCTTAGTGTGGGCCTTCAGTCACCTTAGGTTTAATAGGCTCCCATAGTTCCTGCTACAGTATAACAATGAAATTCTGCAATAAAGTTGTCTCTTAAAATGTCTCCTGGCTTCTGGAGTCCTCCAGGTGAGAGGTGCTGCACATGGACCCCTGTGCATGGACTACATGCATATGAACAACTATAAATGACATTTCCATGAGCGTTTCCATGGATCTTTCCAACTCATCAGCCTCCAGAGACTGCACCACATCCACCAAAGTGTATTTTGATTCAAGTCATAACATTTTCTTAACTATGAAGGGTAGAACTGCAAGGAGATGCTCACCTGTTACGAAGTTATCTGTGTTAGGGGAACAATTGGGATTCTTCTGCTGGAAATCAGCAGTAGAGAGGGGGCAGAGGTAGGACTGGTATGGAATAAATGGTTTGATGTCAAGTAGCTCAGAACTGGAACATTCTCTGGAAGCATGAAGGAGTGATAAATTAGCACCTGAATGTCTTCGTATTCCCATAGTGTGACTGGCCAACTCCCTGGAGATGGTGAGAGAATGCCTCAAAACACAGCCTTCTAAATAAAAAAACAGAATTAACTGTGGTTTTAGTAACACATGAGCTGCAACCATCAGAAAAATCGGTTCGCTGTTCGTCTAAACTCAGCATATTTCAGCCATTTAAAGCTATGAAATAGCTCAAAGTACCTTGAATTATGTTACTGTTTGGTGCCTGGAAAAAGCAGGGTGAATAAATAAATACATATAAATAAATATATACATATTTTGATAATAATGTGGGGGTGGTTTTGTTTGTTTGTTTTTGTTTTTGTGGGTTTTTTGTTTGGTGTTGTTTTTTGTGGTTTTTTTTTTTTTGTTTGGTTTTTTTTTTTTTTTTTACAGAATTAGAAAGGTGTTATCAGAAAGGTAACTGAAAACCTAATTTTTTTAAAGTAAGTAATTTCTGAAAGTATTTCCATTAATGGGATCCTGCTGTAGTTGTCCCTATGGGCAGCCAACATCGCTTTCACTGGTGCAGTTGTTTTGCTGCTTTTCACTTTCTACTCTCTCCAATCAGATCCAATTAGATGGAGGCCAATCTCAGGTGTGTTGTGCTATGGTCTTTTCCTGTAACCAAATATTCCTAAGGTAATGGAAACATTGTAGAGTACCTGGTCTTAGCTGAGGTCCCACGTGTATTCTGTGATGCAATGAAGCTTTTGTCAAGTTGGTGAATTCAGTACATGACCAGTACATAACAATTCTTCATTGATTTCACATTTTATGACTTAACTTCAAGGAAAACTCTAAATTTCTAGAAACCCTTGTTGGGGTTTCGTGCATGTCCCACAGTAATTTTTTTTTTTTTTTTTTGCTGTGTATTCTTTCTCTCATTCACCAAGAGAAACCCCTCAAAATTATTTAAATGTTGGTTTGATTAAGTTATTGTTTTAGTTTCTAGGAAAAGAATTTTTAGTGAAACAACCAGCAGTGGAAATTGCTTCTTTGTCTTGTCCTGGTACTTAAACTAAATAAAAAGTGTTGATTTATTCATTCTTATTTTTTAACTTCTTAAATACTCAGATGAGTCCTGCTTTTAAATGTACTGGACATACTAGAGTATGGGAGTGGAATCCACACAATCTGTTTCCCCAAGTAGTTAATTTTATGACTGTTAGTTCAATTAACATTATTTTAGCTGCTTTGTTTATGTGTTGGGAGCTTTGGAGTGGTTTTTTGGGTTTGGGAACTGGTAGTGGTAAGAAGGATATTCCCACGTAATAAAGGAACACACTATTGCATTCATACCCCTCAAAAAATAGCCTGCAATTTTTTTGTGATTACTTACGTGTCTGTTGTGAACATGAGATTTGATTACAAATAGAGAAAAATACCCCACCATTTGCATAAAATATGTCAAAACATCTCAGTTAAATGAATGGTCTCTTGTAGGAGAAGTTACATATTAAGGTTATTTTCTAGTAGCTTAAAAAGTATTTTTATGGAGTTTATTCCATACTATTGATAGTTGTAAAAAACAGGGCTACTGCTCTCATGCCTTTTCTTTTTTTGGCTAAGCCTAAAAATCCTAGCTGTCATGCTAAGGTAAACACTATGAAATACATTTTAGTATGCAGTGCAATTTTCTCTGTACCTTTACTGTATTGACTTTTCAGAGGGAAAAAAAAAAAAAAAGCAACCTGCGTAGGACATGGTTAAATATGGTTAATTAAAAAAAAAAAAAAAAAAAAAGGAAAGACAGGAATAGACATATAGTTGAGAAGAAAGCTTTTGAAAGCACTAAGTGCTGGCCTCAGATTGCTCCCACTGAAAGTGTTATTGACTTCAGTGGATGCTGAGCGATGCTAGCATTCATATAGCTCATATATTCTTATTTTTCAATTCTATATTTCTTAGTTTCTTCTGTTTGTTTTTTTTTTTTTCTTATTAAGAACTATAGTTATCAGCTGTAATAGAGGAACACAAAATTGCACTTGAAAATCTAGTAAATGAGGTGAACTGCGAGATGCTACAGCTAAAACCTGACATGTGCATCGTGTACTTCAAATTCTGCTGCATGTGATGGGGGGGCAACCTGGTCACGTCACACTATAGTTCGTAAAAAAAGTGGTTATTTACAAGCCAATTATGTTTCTTTTTGGTTGACTGCACTAAAAACCTTTCTGTAAGAATCTCCTCAACTTCAGAACAGAAGTCATACAGGGCAAATTATGTCTGACTCAAATAGATTTGGTATTTTGGAACTGTAAAACAGAGCCTAAGTAGAGTACTTTGGAATAATTTATGAGTGAGTAGAAGTCCCATGCCCTGGTTTTAAAATGATGTATATTTCAAAGATCAAATCTCAGGAAGGTCAGAGGAACTTCTAACTCATTTTAGGGCTATGAAAGACTTCCAACAGCTGTTTACAAGGGCTTACAATTCTGGCTTCCTTTTTTCAAAAACTACGTAACAAACCCCACATTTGAAACCCTTACTCCAGTTCATATTGTGGTATCACCTTGCCAAACGGCTCATGTGTGTCTTTGCAGAGCTAAGAGCAGGTTGGACATTCTTAATGACACACATTTATTATTTACACTCCAATCAGCATTTCAGAAGTCTGCAGAAATATTCTGAATACGTGTATTTGTGAAAGAATGGTAACATTTCTATATTTTCAACATTTTTATACTTCCTAGTAGTTAAATACTATAAATTAATCACTGTCCCTTTCTTGTGTTTGTTTGTTGTCCTTTTTTACCAATGGAATATCCTTCTACAATAGGCTTCTGGGTCCTTCTCTTTCAAAAATATATTTTTCACTTGTTTTGTATACAAACCATCATCAAGGCTCTTTTAAGCCTTCTTTTAAACATCATTTAACAGTAAGCCCATTAAAACTGTCCTTTCCATGTTGCAATTATCTGAATCTTTTCCAGACTATTCAATCATTTTTCCCAATCATATGTTTTTGTAGCAAGGCTGATCCCAACACACAGTCACACACAGAGCTAAAAAAATTTCTCCCTTCTCACACAATTTTTGTTCTCCTTGCTTATTCATCAGGCTGGGCACTGTTTGCCCCTCTTGGCTCCCAAAATAATGGCTGTGCTCTACAAGTAACAGAACCCACAGGTCTGCTACGAGGTCGCTTTGTTGGGGAGAGCAATTCCTGCCTTTGATGAGGCATAATGCACATTGTGTGAACCACCAGGTGATCCAAATTCATTGATGTATTATTTGCTGCTTCACAACTGCTGTTGCTTGTTTAGATATTTTTGCTACCTTTTTACTTTTCTATTTTTTTTCCTTTTTCCTTTTTTTTTTTTTTCTTTCATAAGCATTACTGAGGATGCTAAGTGCATTTACAGTTTCCTTGATCCTTCTTTACATGGTCCTTATTGGTCAGTTGTTGGATCCTGGATCCTCTGCTCCGTTACACTGCTATTGATGAGCTGACGCACACGACTCCATTAAGCCACATTTTATTCTTCCAGAGGATAAATCCACAATTTTTTCCTAAAAGTGATTGCTGAGCTCTATCATTAATCCATTAAACTACCATAATACTGGGCTGGATTTTTATCATACTTTTGCCCATTGCCATACAGCAAATTCCTTAGTGGTGTTGGAGGATATTAAGTCAAAATAGGTACCTCAAATCACCTTGATTTTCCATGATTTTCAGAAAACAGTTTTACAAAAAAATAATTAGAAAAAATCCTTTTTATCATTAACTACACTACTATTCTTTCAGTGTCTATCCATGATTCTTGGCTTTTGTCTTGGAATTGTCAATTATGACCTCTTTGGAGCATAATAATTCCTCTTCCTCAAGTGCTTTTTTGTTTGTTTAAAGTTGCACAGACCTCTGCAAAGAAATAAAGGACAGGTCACATTCTTAAGTTTTGTATTATCTGATTTTTAAAATCTAAAATTAATGTAATATTAATGCCTGCTTAATGTGCTATTCCTTAATACAAATTAATTTTCATTATACATTAATTTAATATTAATTATTGCCTCAGGAAGTTGTAGGTGATACTTCTGTGCCTAGAGGGGCATAATTATGTTTAATTCAAACTTTACCCCTCCAAGATGGATTTACAGAATTTTCTGCTCAGCTTCTCTAGGGTGCACCTCAGTGTAAGATTCACATCCTGTGAAGACTCTTAACATTTGGATCTACTGAGGTAACTGTGCTTGAAACCACACTAGATCCCAAGCAGCAGTAATAGGGTGATTCCTAAACCTAGGGGAAATGCCCCATAATGCAAAATTATTCCTTCTATTTCTGTAGAAGAATGAAATTAATTGCCTGGTGAAGTCCCAGCAACTTTGTTTCTTACAGTATCATAGAATCACAGAATGGTTTGGATTGGAAGGGACCTTAAAGAACATGTCATTCCAACCTCCCTGCTGTTCTTTCTGGTGTTTGTTTATTAAAAAGGAAAAAAAAATAAAATGTAATTAATTTTTTTTTGTTATAATTGGCTGGAAAATGGAAAATACTAATGCCTGCAAGCAACTTTTTAGAGTCATACTTCTTGCTTTGTTATCAAGTCCTAGTAATAATCTTAGTTAATAACTCAAAATTACTATTGCAAGTTTTGCATATAGTAATTTGTAGAAGATAAGTCATGTATGTTTTTATTTAATGACACCACATAAGTGAAAGGGATCTTTTCCTCTATATTTTTCCTTGAGAAAAAAAAGTTAAATATATTTATAAGGGGCAGGTTTGCTTCCTAAGGATCTTGAGTGCTCCAATGAGCATCCGAAAATTAAGGATATTCTCCTGTGCACAAGAGTTGAGTGGAATTTATTCCTGTGTTGTTGCTGACCAAAAGACTAAGGTATTCATCAACCCTGAAATTTGCTTGCAGGGGATGTATGTTGTGAATACAGCATTGCCTATTTGAAGTGCTTATAAATAATGGCATCTTGTGTTTCTTTTTGTGTTGCAGTGGGAAACAGACTGCAATCCATATCCACTGGTTTGGCCATAGACATTTGAAATGATATATTATATCCCTTTAGCCTGAAAACTTTACCTTTCTGTCCAAAGAGAAACAGATAACATGGGAGCTCAGGGCAGAACGAAGGTAGAAACAGAAAATATCCACTAATGTTTAAAACTCTTTGCTAACAGAGATAGGGTTTTTTTTCTAGTGTTCCATCAGATCGCAAATATAGCAAGACAAATGGTTTTTCCTTAGTGAAATATTCCATTAGAAAGATTCCTTAGGGAAATATTCCACAATAAATTTACATTTTCATATATGAATACACACATATTTTACAGCCCCTAAGATTTTATCAGTGGCCTCTGCTAATGCTTTTTTTTTTTTTTGGCCACAGTTGATGTTAACAGTTTAGCAGGATTTAACATGATGTAGTGTAAGGATGTAGATGTAGGATTTAACATGATGCTGCCTGTATAGGAGCTAAAAAAAAAGTGTACAAAAATGCCAAAATCTGGAATAAACTAGGGGTGAAATTATTGTGTTCATGGCAACTTTCTGTGGTAAACAAGTTTGTAAAGGACAAATATACTGGAAAAGTGAGATTTCAAAAAAACAGCACTGTTGGTCACATTGACATGGGCAAGTTAATAATTGGTGTTATTAACAGTATTCTCTTTATGCTTTACAGCTGTACATTTTCAGATTTCACTAGGATAACAAAAGCATTGCTTTTCACTATTACTATATTATTACAGGAAACAAAAGCTGAAATTCTGAAAACTCTGAATTGTCAAGACAGTGCAGTTACCTGAACAATGAGCAACAATAATATCAACTTTCCAATCCTTTTGCTGTTAGCTGTCATGAGAATAAAGAGTGCATATGTTGGGTTTTGGAAGAGAACGTAAACAAATGGAAATCAAGTTTAAAATGAGAGACTACAATTATACTTCTTTATCTCTTAATTTTCTTTGTGTAGGGACTCAAAGATATTTTTAAAGTAATCTTTTAATTACTATTAATTTAGTCTCTCTCATAATACATTTTAAATGTATTTAAATTTTTGAATCTCATAATTTTATTCCTTTTGTTCTGCCATCCCATTGAAGCTACATGGTATAAATCACAGACTAATGTGAAATGAACTAGTAAGTTGGTACATAATAGGCAATTTCTTTATATCTGCTGAAGTATTTCACATGGACTGATAAATACATTATACCAAATATCTGCAAGTGGTTTTTGGAGAATGCAAATTCAGAAACTTCTGGAGAAATTTAGCCTCTTGACATTCAGTGTTCTGCATGGACCTGGGAGTTTGGGCCTGGATTATTTAGTTTGTTTTGTGTTTGTTTTCCTGGTGATAAAGACACGGGTAACTGTAGCCATGGAACTCATCTGGTGAAAGATACTCCAGCTAAGCACCACAGGAAATAATCTCTTTATGATGACCTTGTGTCACTGCAAGTACAAAAGAGTCTTCATAGCTGAATGCTCTAGCCCTGGGGATTACTAATGATGGAAAGTAATAGCTTTTAAACTTCTAGCCACCTGAGCTGCGTGTCACACACATTTATTCCCTTTGGAATTTAAAATATGCATTTATGTGGTATCTCCCAGGGTGTTTTCACAGCAGCAATATCACCTTGGTGATGAATCCTCATGAATTTCAGGCACATCGCAGTGAGACACTGTTAGTGATTGATTACCTCCAGGGAGCCAAGGAGCTCAAAAATGAACATGGCAATCCAGAAAACATTGGTCACTTTCTGTTGTGTTGATGCTCAATACAGTCAGTGAAATGCTCTTTGGAAATGCCTGGAGAAACAAATCAGTAAAACAATCATAAGGATTTCTTCTTTGTTTCTATTCAGAGATATGGATAAAAAAATCACTTGGATAATGAGAAGAAACCCAAAGACTTATAGGCTTAAAATACAAGGCATTTCTGTTGTGACCTTCAGGCCATTTATCTCTTTTGTCGGATCTGTTCCCTGCTATGCCCTGACCAGCCCAGGTATAAGATATCAAGTCTTGAAATGCCAATTATTATTTCCTTTGAAAGGTTATACATCATCTTACTCAGTATGCAGGAAGTCATCAATACTTGTATGAATATTTCTGATTTGTTTATAAAATCTAATGGTGGTTATTAACGCCAGATCCAATGAAAAACCCGCAGCAGAGAAGGAGTCCTTTTCCAGAGGTAGCTGTCTAATCAGGTTTGGGTTGGAAATAACCTTAAAGATCATCCAATTTCACCCCCTTGTGATGGCCAGGAACACCTTCCACTACCTCTGCAACCTCTAAGCTCTATCCAACCTGGCCTTGAACACTTCCAGGGATGGGACAGTCACAGTTTCTCTGGACAACCTGTGCCAGGGCCTCACCACCCTCACATCCAAGAATTCCTTCTCAATATCCCATCTAACCCTACCCTCTTTTCCTTTATAATGTAACCTTGTCTGTGGTCACAGAATGTGTGAGCCTGAGGTGGAGTGTATAACCAGGTGATTGCATAGGAAGATAGCTACATGACATTAAATGCAAATTATTTCATGTGTTCAGTCTTTAGGAAAAGGAAATTACCTACTTTCACTTGACTTATTTTGTCCTTTTGCAGCTATTTTTGAAATTTATCAGGACAGGGGGTTTTTTTAATCTCTAGTTTGTAGTGGATGATTAGTCACAGATGGACAATTGGCATGAAAAAACTCCAGGAAACGTGTGCATTAACAAGCACAGAATTCATTAATGTAAAGAAGTATATCATATGATTGTATATAAAGACTTTAGGGAAGCATTTCATACAATAGCTCTAAAGATTTGCCCTGAAAAATATAATTCAGGTCACTTGGGAAAAGCATGAAGACAAAATTAGCACAGGATCATTAAAAGTGCCATGATAAACAGCAATGTTCTGGGGTGTTGGAAGATTGCTACTGGGATATCAAAAAGATTAAAAGCTATTGTCAAACACAAAAATATGCACTGTGTTCTCATAGAAGCTTCTATGCATTTTTTTCTCCTTTATGTGTATACAGCAAATATTTCTGCGATATTGCATTGCAAAGCCCTCACAGTGGCTGGAGGGTGCTGTCCAAAGTAGGTAAACCTTCTGGCTTAGCAGCAATTAATCAATAGGTAAATGGTTTCATTTTCCTTCTGAAGCTACTTCTGTCTGTCAAAAACACGATTTTGACAGCAATTAGCACAGTGCCATCAGTGAAAACTACCCTCTCCTTTCTAATATTGAAACCTTGTCTTTGGCTCTGACAATAAAGCTAAAAATAATCATCTACTTCTGACAAAACCCATCTCATGGGATTACATGTGAAAATAGAGCAGGTATACTTTGCTGGTTCCTCTGTGTGTAAAGCAAGAAGTCACCACAGTTGGCAAGTGACAATTTTTTGAAAGTTTTTAGAATGTCCCTGCAGCTGCTTCTGTCTGAAAGGATTGATTATTCATTACTGCAGATTTTATAATTTTTCTCAGACTGAGACAGTTTAATTTTATCTGTTGAGAACAGTGAGGAAAAGAAAAACAACCCACCCACTGGAACCAGCAGAAGCACTCAGAGGATGATGGAACATAAAACAGTACAGTATATATGGTCAGGTGGTTTAATGATACAGTTTCGTTATTTCATGATAATTACTGTCACTTGCATGAAGGCTCATCCTTAAAATATATCAGTTTACCCAGAGATGTTCTGCTTCGATGGCACCCTTAGGGACAGCTGTGAGTAATAACAAAGGAAAAAGAGGTTTGATCTGGATGGATATTCAGACAGATGGACAGACAGGTGATTTATATAAGTGTATGATATATAAGTTGGATCCTACTCATTAAAGAAGGCATTACAAAAAGAGAGGTGGTGAATCATTTCTGGTGTTGTGTGACTGACATCAAAATTGAGTCTCCCCCCACTGCAGTCACTGTGCTG